TCTTTCTTTCTTTCTTTCCTTCTCTACTAGAAAGAAAGGAATTCTTGAAAATCTCTGCTGTAACTGAATTTTTCACTATCTAGATGATTGGGAGTTGAGGCAGAAGCAGCCCTTTCACTGGTCTCCTTACCAAAACCTGATATTGTCATCAACCATATTGTAGTGACATACTTCATCAGGTTTTATGTTTCAACTTCACTGTCCAGTGACAAACAAATTGTCCCATGAAAATGAAAAAGAATATTCATCAGCCCCATAAAACCAAACAGGAAAGTAAGAGAGTGAGGGTGGGACTCTGAGATAAAAGAGGCCTTATCTGGAAGTACCTTGGACTTTCCCATGCAAGATATGTACACATATCATTATATATAAGATAAATACCAACCCCCCCCCAAAAAAGGGTGGAGGGGCAGCACTAGCTGTTTATGGGGAAATACCATTAATTTCTTGGGTCTCAGTTTCTTTATACGCAAAGTGACAGGGAGGGGTAAGCTAGGTTACTAAAGGTGCAGAATCTCTCTGGCTCTGTTTCTTCATCTATAACTTGTTGTTCAGTTAGTTCAGTTGTGTCTGACTCTTCACAACCCCATTTGGGATTTTCTTGGCAAAGATACTAGAGTGGTTTTGCCATTTCCTTCTCTAGCTCATTTTATAGACTTGGAAACTGAGGCAAACAGGGTTAAGTGACTTACCCAGGGTCATACAGCAAATAAATATCTGAGGCCAGATTTGAACTCATTAAGATGAGTTTTCCTGACTCCAGGTCTGGCACTCTATCTAACGTGCTATCTAACTGCCCTGTCTGTAACGAGATGCTCTCTTTCTCTCTTTAGTCCCTTTCAGACAAAAATCTAACATAATAACCCAATCACTGCTGGTCCCAAATAAGGCTACTCACTGTCTCCTTCTACCACCAAGTAGGAGCAATATCCCAAGCTAACCCCCTTCCCCATACAACTTAGGCTAGGTTGTTTTTGTTTTTTTGTTTTGTTTTGTTTTGTTTTCCCCTTGACCTATTGCAACCACTCTTGAGATGTGATTGGCTCAAGGGACTGCCTTCCTTGGGCAGGTAAGCTTTTCTCTGTTTAAGTAAATCAAGGTGTTCTCAGTGCATTTCCTTGTTGAATAGCCTTCCCTTGCAATGGTTAAGTAAATCTGCTATTGTTAACTGTTGGGTGATCTTTGAGTATGTCATTTTGTTTCAGTATCAAACCTCAACTATCAGGGGACTGGCCTGAATCAGCCCAGTCCAGAAAAGGATGCTTCTCAAGTCTAGACCAATTTGCACATACTAGATTTAGTTCTAGGGGATCCTGGTCTCTGAAGAAAGGGTTTAGACCTTTCTTCCTCTCACATCATTTAATATTTAGATTTAGCTCAGGAAGACTCATCTTCCTGATTTGAAATTTGGCCTCAGACATGTACTAACTGTGTGACACTGGGCAAGTAACTTAACCCTATTTGCCTCAGTTGCTCATCAGTGAAGTGAGTGGGAGAAGGAAATGGCAAACCATTCCAGTATCTCTGCCAAGAAAATCCCAAATGGGGTTATGAAGAGTTGAATTCAACTGAAAAGACTAAACAACAATGAAGTTTCCCCAAACGGGGTAGAGTAGAAAGGTACTCAGTGTATAATGTCAATCATGTACAGGACAGCTCTTTATTTCTCCCATGTAATACTAATACTAAGAGCTGACATTTATATAATACTCAATATTTGCTAGACATTGTGCTAAGTGCTTTACAATTGTTATGTCATTTGATCCTTACAACAGCCCTAGGAGATAAGTACTATTATTATTCCTATTTTACAGATGAAGAAACTGAGGCAAACAGAGGTTAAGTGAATTCTCTAGGGTCACATAGCTAGTAAGTGTATAAGGCTGGATCTGAACTTGGTTCTTCCTGATTCCAGACCTGGTACTCAAAGCTTTTTTTTTTTTTTTTAATGCACATGTAGGCATATTTACAAAGATTTAAGAATGTAGCAATGACTTTTAATTACTGTTATGACGTTCTATGAAACTGATAATTAAAATATCAAAACATGACACATTTTGTGATACTGTTGAATGGGCATTTCACATTCACCTAAGATCTGCACTGTCACCCCCAAGGTCCCTATTGTTTGGCAATTCTGGCCAGAGGTGAAGTCCTCTTACCATCAGTAATCATCTTCTTCAAAAGACATTGTAGTAGCTGTAGAGGGCAGTTCTTATAGTGCAGGTCATACCACTTGAGGGGCCCCTGGAAATTCCAAACACACAAGGTTGCCTCCAAGACTGGATATGTCTATCGTGGGGTCACTGTTGAGTCACTTACATTCAGTCAAAAAGCACAAAGTATAAGAAGGAGCTAGGGTTTTGAGAATATGCCTTACTTTCACTTAATCAGGCACATATGTTGGCTGCCATGTACACTTCTATTGGCCATTTCTGCCACAGGAAATCAAGAAAGAGGCTCAAAAGTCTTGATATGCTCAGTGTATGGGAAGAGAAAGGTCTAAAAGATGAAATCATTCCCTTTAAGATCTCCTGAATGGATGTTACTTCCTGACCCTATGGCCAATCCTCTCTGATGCAATTTTGATTGTAGGCCCTGCTGCTGTCCCAGCCCTGCCACTATATCATCCCAAAGTGCCAAGCCCTTCAGTGCTGAGCCAAAACTCATGTGGCCCACTAGGAAAGGGGTGGGGCAATATGTCACCAGAAGCCACCCAGCTCTAACCATAACAAATGGTACTAAAAAGTTCACCTTGGGGCAGCTAGGTGGTGCAGTGGATAGAGCACTGGCCCTGAAGTCAGGAGGACCTGAGTTCAAATGCGGCCTCAAACCAAACACTTGACACTTACTAGCTGTGTGACCCTGGGCAAGTCACTTAACCCCGTTGCCTACCAAAAATAAATAAATAAATAAAAAGTTCCCCTCCAGGCATGCTCCATCCAGTGGACTTTGACAGAGTTGATTCAGGGCTAATCAGGAGGGGTTCCCCTAATTACCCATTACACTCAGAGCCTAGGACTCTAATATAGTGGTTGAGCAATCCCATCATCCAGTTCATTCCTGTTCACCCCTGGGTGGTAGTTTGTTTAGGTTTGGTTAAGAACTCACCAAGAACAGTGAGGTGTGTATGCATGTTTTACTATTTTCTCATTTACTTTTTATGTTAATACTGTATTAGTCATTGTTGCTCTGTTCTTTCAGTCTAAAGATCTTTTTCCTGGACAAAGAAATGAGAAGGAAACTAAGAGTTAACTAGTTCTGCCTTTTCATTGTGGTCTGTTAAAATTATCCTATCTGTTTTGTGCAGTGGTCCTATTTCTTCTTTGAACCTCTCATTTTCTCCTATCTATTTTCCTTAGACTAGATCTGTGATATCAATATAACAACTTCCCAATCAGGAACCTCCCCTACTCTTGTAGATTGGCATCTTCTCAGAAGGTTATAGTTGTTTTTTTTGTTTTTTTGTTTTTGTTTTGTTTTTTAGGCAATTTGGGTTAAGTGACTTTCCCAGGGTCACACAGCTAGTAAGTGTCAAGTGTTCGGTCTGAGGCTGGATTTGAACTCAGGTCCTCCTGACATCAGGACCAGTGCTCTATCTACTGCACCAACTAACTGCCCCAGGTTATAGTTTTAATTTCTTGATTTCCTCATAGAGTCATTAGCTTTCATTTGCTCCATTCTAATTTTTAAGGAATTATTTTCTTCAATGAGCTTTTGGACATCATTTTCCATTTGGCTGATTCTGCTTTTTAAGGCATACTTCTCCTCATTGGCTTTTTGGACCGCTGTTGCCATTTGGGTTAGTCTATTTTCAAGGTGTTATTTTCTTCAATATTTTTTGAGTCTTCTTTAGCAAGCCGTTGACTCATTTTTCATGATTTTCTTACATCTCTCTCATTTCTCTTCCCAATTTTTCCTCTGCTTCTCTTATTTGCCTTACAAAATCCTTACTGAGTCCTTCTATGACCTGGGAACAATTAGTATTTTTCGTGGAGGCTTTGGATGTAGGGGCTTTGATTTTGTTGTCTTCTTCTGGTTGTATATTTTTATTTTCTTTGTCACCAAAGTAAGATTCTATAGTCTGAGTTTTTTCTGCTGTTTGCTCATGTTCCCTGCCAATTATTTGACTTTTTAACTCTTTGTTAAGGTAGGGGTCTGCTTCCAGTGTAGAGGGTATACTGTCCCAAGCTTCAAGGGTTTTGTGTACCTATTTTCAGAGATACCTGAATTTCAGAGGGACCTTTAAATTTTCAGTTCTTCTGAGGTGATATGCTCAAAGGAGAGGTGTTTACTCTTTTCTTGGCCTGTGCTCTGGTCTGTGAATGAACATAAGCACTCTTTTCTGCCTTGGAACTGTGAGGAGGATTCCCTCTCCACTTCCTCCACAAGCTCCACCACGTCAACACTCCTTCTTGCCCCAGGACTGCCACAGCACTATGACCTAGATCCAAGCATGGGCAAAGCAAGAGAATCCTGCCTCAGCACCAGCAAAGAGATCTCTACAATCTCCCTCTGATCAGCTGCTCAATGCCCCCATCATCTATGGGCTGCGGAAGCAGCCACCACCCTGGTACTGCACTAGGGCTGGGCCTAGACCACACTCCTCTCTCACCCAGGTCTGACAGACCTCTCCCACTGACCTTCTAAGTTGTCTTTCATGTTTGTGGGTTGAGAAGTCTGGAAACCACCACAGCTGCCCATGATTCAGTCTCCTGAGGTCTGCTCCAGGTTTGCTGGGGCCCTGTCTTTGCCTGCACACCCACGCTGAACTGTGCTCCTCTCCCAGCCTGGTGCAACAGACCTTTCTCATCAACCATCCAGGTTGTCTTGGGCTGGAAATTTGTTTCACTCTGTCTTTTTGTGGGTTCTGCTGCTCTAGAATTTGTTTAGAGTCTTTTTTTTATATTTAGTTTTTTTTCCTTTTTTTAAACCTTTTTATTTATTTTTTTATATATTAAAATGTCATGTGCACAGCAGAACATAGGAGAGGATTCAAAATATATTGCAATAACTTTTCATTTCAAGAAAAGCTATATATTAAATACTGTGCATTATGTTCAGAGCTGTCCATCTTTTCTTTGCTTCCTTGTAGGTTTCTTTTGTTCTCTGTTATACACTTTTTACTTTGTTCTTTTTTTCCCTGTCCCTCCCCTCTACCCACCACCCCAAAGCTACAATTGAGCATTGGATATATTTATATATGTGCATATATATGTATGTGTATGTGTGTATATATATATATTATATATATACATATGTATTTATCCATACATACATATGTAAACATATATTTTCCCTAAGAGATTCTACTCCTAATCTTTGTTTCTGTTTGTGCATGTCTCTTTTTTTTTCCTCTCTCCTAACTCCTCTACTTTACATCTACCTGCCAACTTACCCTCCTACAATTTAATCTACCTCCACTCCAATAATCTCTCCCTTATCCTCCCATTCCCTTAAATCTAAACCCCCTTCTCTTTGCCCCTTTTAACCTATTCCCATACCCTTTCCTGTAAAGATCCCTCCTTTATCCTCTCCCCCCTCCATAGCCCCTTAGAGTTTTATTTCTTTCTAAATTTAGAAGACTTTTATACTCTTCTAAATGTATATGAATTTTCCCCTCTTAAACCCATTGCCAATGAGAATGGGTTTCCAAAACTAACAGCCCCCTCCCCCATCTAATTCCTCTGTATTGGTTCTTCCTCTTGCACCTCATTTATAAAAAATAATTATTCTTTTAACTATACTTGAATGTTTTACTTTTTGAAGTCATATCATACTCAGGTCTACCCCAATCTTCCTTATAAGTTACCTAATTACTAGTAACAATCTTAGACATAGGTTTTACATTTTTCATACATAAACAGTAAATATTCTATCCTTATTTAGTCCCTTGTAATTGGTCATTGGTATGTACCTTATATTGCTCTTGTATGTTGAATCTTCTATTGAGTTCAGGGTTTTTGTTTGTTTGTTTTGTTTTGTTTTTTAACAAAGACTTGAAAGTCTGACAACTGATCAAATGTCCATTTTTTTTTTCATTCAGAATTAGGCTTAGCTTTGCTGGGTATGATATTTTCAGCCAGAAACCCAATTCCTTTGTTCTTCGATATATAGTGTTCCAAGACCTGCAATCTTTTAGTGTCACCACTGCTAGGTCTTGTGTAATTCTAATTGTGGTACCATCATATGTAAACTGTTTTTTTCTTATTGCTCATAATATTTGGTCCTTGATCTGGGGTTTCAAAATTTGACTATGATATTCCTGTGAGTTTTCCTTGTAGGATATCTTTCAGGTGGTGATTGATGGATTTTTTCTATTTCTACTTTCCCCTCTTGTTCTAATGCTTCCAGACAATTTTCTTTAATTATTTCTTATATTATTGTATCGAGATTCTTTTTTTGATAAAACTTTCAAATAGTCCAATTATTCTTATGCTTTCTCTTTTTGATCTGTTCTCTAGATCTCTTGTTTTTCTTATGAGATGTTTCAAATTCTCTTCTATTTTTTCATTTTTATGTTTTATTTTGTTTTTTTTCTTCATCTCTTATAACTTCACTGGCTTCCCCTTGCCCAAATCTCATTTTCAAGGAGTCATTTTCTTCCTTAAGATTCTGGATCTCCTTTTCTAATTGATTGACTTTCTTTTCATGATCTTGTTTTTCTTGCATTATTCTTATTTTTCTTTTTAGCTTTTCCTCAGTCTCTCTCATTTGATTTTTAAAGTCTTTTTTAAGTTCTTCAATGAATTCTTTTGGGGCAGGTGACCATTTGACATTACTCTTTGGGGTAGAAAAGGGTTTCTTTGCTTCATTATCCTCCTGTGAAGACAAACTCCAATTTTCTCTATTCCCATAGTAGCTCCCTACGGTTGGATTTTTTCTCCTTTGCCTGTGCAACTATAATTTAGTTTTTATAATCACCTTTTAGTTTTATAAGTGATTTTATAATCACTTTTTTTTTAATAAAGTCCAGTGCACTCTTCTGTTCTCCCTTCTCACCTTGAACTCAAACCAAGACCTCCAGCCTCCTGTAAGGGTCCACAGCAGCAGCATCCCCACCCCACTGCTTCTGCATTCACTAGGTGTGTGCTGGTTCCTTCTTGGCTGGGCCACTCTCCACAGCACAGCTGGGTCTGGTATTCCTTGTCAGAAGAAATTCCCTAGATCTTTCCCAGGTCAGATGCCCAACTCCCCTCACTGTCCCTGGGGTAAAAGTTCCTGTAGCTAGGGCAAAGGCAGCAGTCCCAAACCAGCTAACCCCATGGTTTGCCACTTGTCCTTTAAGCAGTTTGTGGCATGTTGTTAAAGTGGACCCTAACCTGGAGGAGTTTATTCTTCACAGGAAGGAAATCTCATCCAGGATTTTTCTTCAGATCTTCTCCAATTGTGCCAGGAGGATCCCTCTTCCGCCCCTACTCTTATCTGTTTTCATGGCTCTATGTTTGCCCAGAGGTGCAATTTTATCTCTTTTGTGGAGGAAAATCTTGAGAGCTTGAAATTTTCTGACCTACTCTGCCACCTTCCCAGAATTCTCTCCTTCTAGAGTCATTTTTTACAGTTATTTGGAGGGATTTGGGGGAGAACTCAAGTAAGTCACTGCTTTTACACTACCATCTTAGCTCCACCCATGAAAGTTAGAGTTTTAAGGACTTACATAGGATTATATGGCTTATCACAAGGATGCAACCAACATCATGAAAGGCAGGACCTGAAGTCAGGCATTCCTGACTCTGAGGTCAGCTCTCTATCTACTATGACAAGCTGCCTCTCCTTCTAATAGAGTTATTAAGAACAAAACAAAACTTTTTTTTTCAGCCAAAGACAAGGTTTACTAGAACATCTGCCATGTTGGCCAGACTCTTAAGGAATCTGAACATTATTGACCTATTGGCTAGATTATAAGAATTTGAGCAGTGGCTAGATTTTAAGAATCTGAGCACCTTAATGGAGACAAGACAGACCATATACACAGAAAGACTATGGGACAGATCTAGGAAGGATCTGGATGGGAGTGACTGGGAGTTTGAGAATGGGGTCTAGATAGGGTCAAGGGTGGGAAGTCGCCAGGAGCCATAGGGAGGTAAGACAATGGAGGGCCAGGCTAGTTTAAGGATAACAGAATTGGGAGATTGGGTTTAGGTGATAACAAAAGGCCAGTTGATGAGATTATTGCCTCAGGGGAAATCCAGAGATTTGGCCATGTGGAAAAGTCCAGGTTTTTTTCTTTCTGGGGTCCAGATTCAAGCCCTATCATTCCCCCCTCAAACAAATGGGACCCAAATTCTTTTGGGGTAAGGGGCGAAGGTCTTGACTTCTGAAACCGCTTCCTGCTGGCAAGGGGCATAGAGCTGTCCCTGCCTCGAGGGGGTCCCAAAGAGAAGGTGACTGGAACTGAACACAGGCTGCGTCCAGGGAATGATGGGGGAACATTGGCTGGTACTTGCTGTTTGCTACCAACTGTAGGTAAATGGCCTATAGTCTGGAAGACACAAATCTGACAGAAAAGACTTCAGGGTACAGATATGATAGGATATCCTTAACCCTGTTTGGATTCAGATAATTCAGTTTTCCAGTCATGTAGTATCAAATCAACCTTATAGCCAGACTCAGGAATAGCCAGGTGGGTAGCATTCCTTTTCAAAGGAACATAATGAGGAAACTGAGCCAGGAGGATCCCATCTTAGACCAAGGCTAAATTGTCCTCTCAGCTTTTCCTGATGCTGACTTTCCACCAGTATCACATTCTCTGAGTAGCTTGTGGCATTTCTCTCAAATGATAGATTATTGATTATCAATGTATTATGATCCATCAGACAACTCAAAATAAAATTCCATGAGCTTTTACCTCAAACAGCAAGTTTCACTAATTACAGTTTAGGAAAAACTTTTCCAGGATTTACATCTCAAAGTTAAATTTGCACTGGTGTAAAAAGCCAATCTTTTTTGGGGGGGGGGAGGGGTTGGGCAATGGGGTTAAGTGACTTGCCCAGGGTCACACAGCTAGTAAGTGTTATGTGTCTGAGGCTGAATTTGAACTCAGGTCCTCCTGACTCCAGGGCTGGTGCTCTATCCACTGTGCCACCTAGCTGCACCTAAAAAGCCAATCTTTAGAGATTATTTCTATTTACTTGCAAATTCTCAGCAAAACAAAACCCAAACAAGCTTTTTGGCAAGTTCACACATTAAAACAATAACCAACAATAGTCAAATTATTTTAGCGGTAACCAAATTATGAAAAGTTGCTTGACATAACTGATACAAAAAGTTCACCAATTTGAAACTTGAAACAAACCCATTACCAATCAGGTGACTTCAGTTTTGTTAAATTCATTTCCAAATTACTTTACACAGAGAATCAACATCTCATCATTAACAGTTAAAACTACAACTTTAAAAGAGCCGAAGTTCAGAGGCGAGCTTCTTTACCTTGAGCAAGATGTGCTGAACTTGGGTGATGCTTCCAGGCAAAGGTTGCCCCAGGGCCCAAGACCATTGCCAGGGGGGTCCATGCTGTAGAGGGCAAATTCAGAGGTGGCAAAAACTCTCTTCCCTGTGAGAGGGATTAAGTATCTGTTAATCCTATTAATACCCTTTTGACTCAAGGGAAGGGAAGTGGGAGAAAGGAGTGACCAAGGCTGTAAGGAGATGTTTCAAAACTCTTTAATGATCAACCACAAAACTTCTAGAATTTGCTAAGATGTTTTTAGCTGTTCTAACATTTTCCCTGGGCATCTGTCCTTGTCCTCTATGCTGTGGAAGGTGTATCCAGGTCCATGGCCCTGAATCAAACCAGTGGACCAAGAGCCTGAGAGCGTTAGGCCGAGTATGAGACAACCTCCTAACTGTCTGCCCGAAAAGCACCTCCAAGCCTTCCTAGGTGCACGGCAAGAAAGAAGGGGGGTTGGGGGTGGTGCTTACATACCTTCCAGTCTTGACTGGAGAAGAACTTGGGGTCCCCATACAGGCCACCAAAATGTTGAGGTTTAGGTGTTTAGGGGTGCTGGGACCCTGAAATCATGACACATGGGTCCTGTCCAAATGAATTTGACCCAAATCTTTTTTCAGCCAAAGACAAAGTTTATTAGAACATCCTCCACATTGGCCAGATTCTTTAGGAATCTGAACATTACTGAGCTATTGGCTAGATTATAAGAATCTGAGCAGTGGTTAGATTTTAAGAATCTGAGCCAACAAAACTTTTTGTCCTAGCTTTCCTTACTGTTTTTAGCTCATTATGAACCATAGTGCTCCTAACATTATTCTCATAGGACTGTGCCACACTTTATCTATTCTCAGTTACCCACCCCTCCTTTCCTTTTCTGTATATACATTTTTTTTAAAAAGTGAGTCAAAGAGTTTCCTTTGTATCCACATCCATCTCCCTAGAAATTCCTCCTTTTCCTCTTTATTGAAATTGTTTCTCTTTGTGCCTTCAGAATTTTGTTATTGAGAGTTTCCCATACAACCTGAGTTGACTTTCCCAGTAGAATTTTAGTTCTTTGGATTCTACCTATGATGTCTTTGAACACTTTGAAATATGATTTTAAAATTTGTGGTCATGACCCCACTTTCCCCTCCTCTATCTCAGATTCTGAAATAGTATGCTCATTCCTCTCCCCTCCAGATTCTGTCCTAGAGGTTTGGATTTACTTCAGCAATTGGTTGTATTTATTGGTGACATATAATTCCAGAATAACAGTTCTCATAGTTAGTTCCTTCACTGTTTGAAGGATGAAATGATAATTAAAGCAAGTTAAGGAATTATTAGCTTTTCTTGCTTTTGGCAAAGAGAAAATTCCAACAATGTTTGGATAATGAAGTATCCCATCACAGCTATATCATGCCATGTTGCCATGTTTGTTATACATTTCCCAGACTCCTGTCTGTACAGGTGGCCTCTCACATAGTCTGACTCTAGTATTGCTTTGCCACTGTATCTTTTGATGATCATCTAACTGATTTTCTTCCTACTTCTCACCCCAAACTATGGTACCTGAATTTCCTCACAAGAGCATATCTGCTTTCTACCCTTTCCCCAAGACATCGTTCCTATTCCTTTCGACTAGAGGATGTCCTTTCAGAGTCATACTTAAATCATGAGTCTATCTCTCCATGTCTTTATGACACCTGAAAGGTCTTATTGAATTATGATTCCTACTTCACCTTGTTTGTTATCCCTATCTTACATGGCTGTCTTCTGAGGTCATGGCTTTGACTGACTGATTTTTGGCTTCTTTTTTGGATTTAGCCTCCTGGAGATTTCTGACCAGCTCATCTGCTAGTCTTCTTCCTATATTGAAACTATTCTCTGTGGTATGTAGATTGGTTCACATACAGCTTCTTCCTCTTTCCTACTTTTCATTTTAAATTCTTTTTGATTAGATTCTCAGGATTCCAGGCAAATACATTTTGTAACACATTTTGTTAGGTGAACTCTATCCCTGGCAAGGAGCCTATCATTCCTAGATTTTAAGCTGTTTCAGAAATCCAAATCCTGTTCTCAGATGCCATATTCTTAACCAGCTCTTACTTTACCAAATCTGTCTTTTTAATTTGAAGCCCTTCCCTTTGGTCAACAGGAATGATGAAAAAATACCATCCCTCAGTTTTTCAATTTTCTTAGGCATGCTTTCTAGATTCTTTCTGAGAGTATCATTTATGCCCACATGAATCACCAGAATTGAACAGTGGTCATCAAGTGTGATTGAAGGATCTCCATGAATACATGCCTTGGAAAGAGCAGAATTCTCTGTGTTATTATCAGTAGGATAAACAGCTGTCTCAGTACCACCCAATAGCCAACCAACAAATATTTATTAAGCACTTACTCAGTGTCAGACACAAAGTTAAGTTCTGGGGAAAGACAAAAACAGTCTCTGCCTTCAAGGAGCTCACGTTCCAATGTGGGAGACAACATATAAACAATTATGTACAAACAAGACAAAACTACAGGGAGTCAGCAAATACCACTATGTCTGTGTCTCTTCTCTGATCCTTAATGGATGATACATACCTGACTTCTTCTTTGAATCTTTACCATTCAACTCCCCCTCTACAGAAGACTTTTCCTTATCCTTCAGCTGCTATTGTCATCCCCCCTCTCCCCACCAATAACATTTATTTTGAAAGACATTTAGCTATTTAGTTGTGTACATGTTATCTCTCTTGAGGGCAGAGATTAGATTTTTCTTTGTACCCTTAGTGCCTAACATAATTCTTGGAACTCACATAGTAGGTTCTTAATAAATCTTAGTTGATGGATCAATTCTTAGTGGGAAAATGACTGTTTCCTTTTCAGAAGGCCTACTTCTTTCCATTTTGATAAGATCATTATATCTATTTCTTAGTTCCAAGTATTCAGTATCCCTTCCATTTCTCCTGTGCATCAGAATTTTTCTAACTTCCTGACACAGGTTAGGATTCCCTCCTGCCATCTTCAAAACATTTTTCTTCTTTTATTCTACTTGGGAAATCTTTTGCTTTTCATTCAACTTCATAAGTTGGAAATTAAAGGAACATTCATTAAACCTTTTGTAGTAGAGATGACATATGTTTTATGGGGATAGGCTGGGCTAGATTCTCTTTAAATGGGCAGGGAGGATATCCTTGGGATCTGATTGGTCCAGGGGGTTAGAGTTTGAGCCATTGTCATGGCTTTCTGGAAGGCTGAAGTATAAAAGACCTAATCTATGAGGAGTTAGGGTTCTTCAGGATGAACAGAATCCCCCACTGCCAAGAAAATCAATACACTTTTCTCATTGTGTAATGTTGCCATAGCAAATATGGGGGTAGAGGGGAACAAGGTGTACTGGAAACAGTAAATGTATTCTTTCAAAATTGCTTATTGTTAAGTAAATTTTTCATTAACTTTTGTATGGTCCAGGAGTTTTACACTGTATTCTAATCCAAAGCTTTAATCACTAGGCTGGCAAAGAGCTCAACCTGGCCCATTTACTTTCTCCTTCAGGTGTAAGACCAGCCCAAGCTTTGAACACAGAGAAAAATTATTTAGCTGTGGGAGAAGGATAAACCCAGTCCATTCTATGGAGTTTTCTGGAAAAGTTCTGCATTCCCTTTACCTTCTTTTTTTAAAAATAAGTTTAATTGATGTCTTCTGTTTCTTTTATCATCATAGTTATCCCAAATATTCCTTCCCCTCTACCTCCCAGAGAGCTGTCCCATTTAATAAATAGTATTTTTCTTTTTTCTTATTTAAATTATTTATTTTAGTTTTCAACACTCACTTCCTTAAAATTTTGAGTTTTAACTTTTCTCCCTCTCCGTCTCCTCCTCTCTCCCCAAGATAGCATGCAATCTGTTATAGGCTCTACTTACACATTTATATTAAGCATATTTTCACATTAGTTATGATGTATGGAAGAACTAGAACTAATGAGAGAAACCATGAGAAAGAAGAAATAAAACAAAACAACAAAAGAAAAGGAGAGCAAATAGTATGCCTCCATCTGCATTCAGACCTCATGGTTCTTTTTCTGGATGTGGATAGCATTTTCCATCATGAGTCATTTGCAGTTGTATTAGATCCTTGCATTGCTGAGAAGAGCTAAGTCTATCAAAGTCAGTCATCACACAATGTGCCTGTTACTATGTACAATATTCTCCTGGTTCTGCTCATTTCACTCAGCATGAGTTCACATAAGTCTTTCCAGGTTTTTCTGAAGTCTACCTTGTCATCATTTCTCATAGCACAGTAGTATTCCATTACATTCATATACCCCAACTTGTTCAGCCATTCCCCAATTGATGGGCATCCCTTCAATTTCCAATTCTTTGCCACCACACAAAGAGCTGCTATAAATATTTTTGTACATGTGGGGCCTTTTCCCATTTTTATAATCTCTCTGGGATATAGATCTAGAAGTGGTATTGCTAGATCAAAGGGTATGCACAATTTTATAGCCCTTTGGGCATAGTTCCAAATTGCTCTCCAGAATGGCTAGATCAGTTCACAATTCTACCAACAATGTATTAGTGTTCCACTTTTCCCACATCTTCTCCAACATTTATCATTTTCCTGTTTTGTCATGTTAGCCAATCTGATAGGTGTGATGTGGTACCTCAGAGTCATTTTGATTTGCATTTCTCTAATCAATAGTGATTTAGAGCATTTTTTCATTTGGCTGTAGATAGCTTTAATTTCTTCCTCTGAAAACTGCCTGTTCATATTCTTTGACCATTTATCAATGGGAGAATGGCTTGTATTCTTATAAATTCAGCTCAGTTTTCTATATATTTTAGAAATGAGACCTTTATCAGAGACACTGGCTATAAAAATTGTTTCACAGCTTTCTGCTTCCCTAATCTTAGTTGCATTGGCTTTCTTTATGCAAAAACTTTTCAATTTAATGTAATCAAAGTCATTCATTTTGCATTCCATAACGTTCTCTATCTCTTGTTTGGTCATAAATTCTTCCTTTCTCCATAGATATGATAGGTAAACTATTCCTTACTCTCCTAGACAAATAGTATTTTTTAGAGAGGATAAAAAAATTCAGCACAACTGATCTATACCTTGAAAAAGTCTGAAAG